AAATGATGTTGATGATGTTGATGGTGTTTGTTTGTTGTTGGGTCTAAGAAGTTTTTAGCTATAAGAAAAATAAGTATCTCCTAACTATTTTTTAACTGGTCAGTTAAAAATAAATAAATGTAGAATAAATGAATTAAAATAGTTTATCTTTTCTTTTAACTAGTAGATTAAATACATTTAGAAATCGAATATAATTACAATTGCATTGCTAATTCATTTGCTTATTTTGAATAAAAGGTTTTTTTGTTTATTTGGTGGATAGGATGATAGGATGATAGAATTTTGAGCACCTATTAACTAATTATTTAAGAAAAATCTATTCGAAAAATGTTTATCATATGGAAATGTAAACAAGCATTGCGTAGTTTGGAGAATTCTATATTTTTAATAAAAGTATACAAATATTTAACCGATTGAAATTAGAATAATGTGAAGGAAAGATTTGATCGTAGCGTAGGACAACCAGTGCACAAATAATCAGTTCGGTCAAAACTACTATATATGGTCAAAGATATAGTAGAAAAAAATATATCTCTTTTGTTGTACATCCTATAAACACTTTATAATCTCTAAATATGTGTTTGACTAGAATCATTAATATTAAATCAAATTAAGTGCCACTAAAACTATGTTGGAGCAATAATCACTTTAGTTTGTACAGCTTCCTAAGTCATGTACAGAACATTTGTATCTTCAAATGATTCAAAATGATAAAAGTTGCCTAGTATATCACCATAAAATCTTGAACACCATATGGCTACCATCTCTCACTATGATACGGACCTACATGTTATTACTTCTATGAATTTATAATATTTGTTCAACAGAAATTTGCAGTGATAATATAACAATGTGAGCCGTGACTACATTCCAACGACAAATATCACTACTCTATTTTGTTTCTGCGTTCAAGTTGTTTTTGTATAGTATGTGTTTTGTCATGTCACTGTTCCGACGTCCACAGTGAAACTGTTTGCCACGCACTGCTTCTTACACCTACCATGGAGAAGTTTAAGGTTCTGTGGTGTGACTACGGTAAACTTAGTAATCTGCTGGCGTCCAGTTTAATTTTCTTGGATGATTTTATGTGGATTTCCGTCGTTCAGGGTACATGTGAGAGGGCGTGGTTAAAATGTAATCCATTTATTATAAAATCACAACGTTCATAAGTAATATAGGTCTAACAACAATAGATAAAAATGTGATAATAGCTCTTCATATAATTAAAATATAATTTAATATCAAAATAACTGACCAAACACTTTAATCCTAATTATAGTTGAATATTATTATTTTAGGCAAGAGACAGACCTTCGTCACCCATTACACGCCCACCAACCTGCAGAGCGACGGCTTCGGTCCAGAAAGAGCTTTTTATCACGGACACGAGTCCTGGATGGATCACTCTCAAGCAATCGGGTGGCAAGGTGGGAGGACACGTTGACTAACCCTCCCATACCAGCCAGGGAGGAACTGGCTCCTGGTGGAGGCCTTCATTACACGGTGTTGAAGACCCTTAATTGAATCAGGGTCGAGGTACCTAAATGCAAGACAAACATGCAGAAATTGGGTCTCTTACCTGACGATGAAAACATCTTGTGCGCGTGTGGTGCTGTTCAGGATCCTGACCATATGCTGATCTGTCCACGGCTAGACCAGTCTTGCACATCTATATCTATAAAAGAAGAACTATGTATGTATGTATATATATGTGTATATACGTTATGGACTCCGAAACCGCTCGACAGATTGTAATGAAACTTTCAGGCATTATTAAGCATCTTTCAAGGATGGTTCGAGTGAAGTTTGGTGCAGATTCGTCAAAAGGGCTCTGCCCCAGAGGGTTTTAAGTGGGCCAATGTCAGATTTTTTGATCTAGAATGTTTACAAATAAATATAATTTAAAAGCAGATGTTTATTTCACCAACTGTTTTGTACGTTTGAATAACTACAACATTCTATATTAGCATTAGTCATGATTTGAAATAGTGCCACAGTGTTTCTACAGATTGCAGCACAGAAAACTATTTTACTTTTGAATAAGTCCAAATGTATTAAACCCCAATCACAGCACACCTGTGCACTTAACAACGTTTAAATTCTCCAATGTTAAATATTAAAACATAAAAACCGTTATAAAATTACTGTATTATAAACAATAAAAGGGATGACTTTTTAAAATGTATGACAACAGCTAATTTGCAACCAAAAGGTAAATGAAAGATGACAAGGACCTTAATCCTTAAAGTCAAAGTAATGGGAAAGACTTACAGAGGTTGAAAGTTCAGGTCATATATTTTTCTTACTGTAATTCGTTTTTCTCTGACACCTGCTTTTCCCACTTCTCTTCTAGTAGTGTAATGTGAAAATATTGTGTGAAATCGACATAAACATTCACTGATATTTCTTTCAATACTTATTCTCCCCTTTGGTACTTTCAACACTGCCCTAAAATAAAGTTTATTAATATTTGTAAACGCCTTACAGTAGTTATTGTATGAAGAAACACTGTTTGGCTACGTTATGAATGTTAATATTGCGAATTTATTCTTGTGAACAGGTTTTGCTTTGAACAGACCTATTTAATAATCAAATCAAAATATTTTTATTCGTAATCTGTACATGATTGGTAGGTCTACATCGAATAGTGTCAATATATTACATTTAAAGTGTTTGTAATATAAACTTGTATAATCAAACAAAATTAATAATAATAATCTCGAAATACCAAACCAAACATAAGTTACGGAATTAGTTTTAAGCATTTGCACTAAATAAATTCACAAAATTAAATCAACTAAATTAATTTACCAGCACCTTTGGTAAGTCCTCAAGGGAGTAAATAGCCCTTACAGTCAAGACATTTTTAATTTACATTTAAAGGAATTTAAATTGTTGTTATTCTTTATATAACTGTATGCATTTCATAAATATTGATCCCTTGCAGGTTGTTTTCTTTTCAAAACATTTTATCCATGTTGATCAGTCTGGACTTCATTCCCATTTCTTGTATTGTAAGAGTGTGTTTAAATGTTTGTTACTTGCTTAGGATTAGATTTTACGTAGATTATTAAATAAAAAACAATCTGCCCATAAACTGTTCTTAATAGTTTATTAATTTGTGTATAATTTATGAATTTCCATTGAATCTGAACATACAGAGTGTCCCACGAAGAATTTTGAGTGTATATACTGGCCCCTTTATGCACCGAAAGCTTTGAAAATATATGCTATTGTATCTAATATTTTTTCATAAAATGGTGCAATTCAGTATTATGTTTTATAGATTTTCTTCCAACAATAAACCACTTTCTTGGATTGATACCTCATTTGTTTAATACTTTGCAGTTTTGACACTTATTGTTGTTGACCAACTGATTAGATGAAGAATACGGATCAAGTGATAATTTAACCTAACCCTTTCTGCTGCAGTTTTGTAGCAACCGAAGTTCGAGAAGAATTTTAATGTTGTTAAAAGTCACATATGATAAAAAAGTGAAGTTTTATGCGTGGAACTGTTTTTGGTAACGTTACTGAAGCAGTTCACCGAATGAGGGTTGCATACTTAGGATTAGTTATATATTATAGTTATTCTGTATACATAGAATCTCATAATACAATAGAAAGAATCCCTTAAATTTTAACCGTATAAGTAAATGAACAAAGTACACCTAGGTATCTAAAGAGTTACACTAACTTGTAGATATCTAAGTTAAGTTGATTTCACCGTATGTTTAAGTACATATATAGGCTAAGTAGATGTCACCATATGTTAAAGTAGATATCAAAATTTTAACCTAACGAGCATGTCATATCTTCACTTATTACAAAACATATGCGTATGTAATTAGTGAACAAGAGTTCTAACATGGATGTTAAGATTAGTTTGGAGTTTCCGTTGTTAAATGTCAAACAAGAAGCAAAATTACAAACTTGGCAAGTATCAGATCTCATTCCAGATACGGTGTCAGCAAGTCTTAATTAAGGTGAGAGTGAAGTTGAAACTTTTAATTAGTTAGGTATTAGGTGTAAGACTAATCTTAGTATTCGTTCGTAGCATTTGACTGTTGAGATATAGAAATAATTCAACTTTATAGGCTTACGTTGTTTATAGGTTATCCGTCAGTAGTCCAAATTTGTGTTTTATTTCAACTAATGTTGATCAAAGCTGACATGTTCGGAGTAGGACGAACATATGTATACTACACCACTGGGGATGAGAAGCAACCCATGGCAGTGCCTACTTGTCGGGAGCGCACTCCAGTTCTCCTGCAAATATCGCGTGATTTTGAAAATATATGTCATTATTGATGTGGATTTGAAATGTTTATGGAGTTGGACAGTAGTATAGGAAATTGTTATAGGGATGGATAGGCAAAGGTCAGGATAAAAAGGCTAAAAATTACCTTTGTGTTTTGGACGTTATTTATACCGAGAAAAACTTCCGGGCATAGCAAAAATTAAAAAAAATCCGTCAGAGTAGGGTATCTTTATCCTATTGCCATAGTAATAAAATTTGCATAGTTATCAGGTAGTGACATCAGTTTTGATAAAATTTCAAATCATATTATCAACCTTTATGTGGTTCAACGTGTCAATTATTCTAAATTATTTGAGTTTGTAGCTCGCAAACAATATCACGCAATGAAAAATAACTCGAAATATTGAAATGCCACGGATTGAATAAAACGCTTTTTTCTTTCGTTAGAATTGAATGATTGTTGTAGGCAAAACCTACCATTATTGGATGTTGGTGGTTTTGTGATTAAATCTGGACAGTTAAAAACCACTGTGGAATCTGAATTCTTTTATTGAATCAGTGGTTCGCTTCATGTAGAAATATTTTATTTAAAATACTTAGTTATATTCGGATCTTTTCCATGTAATTTTATCAAATTCCAATGGTTACCTGTGGTTTATTTCATTTTGAAAATATGTATAAAGCATATCTATATCAACATTTATCCTCAAATATCTGGGTGTAATAGAAGCAAACAGTATCAACAGATTAAAACAATTTATTGTCAGTATCCAATACACGTGCTAACAACACATTCAATATCACTTAATTTCTATGTTATAAAATTATCAACAAAACAAATAGTATTTCGATTTCTGGTAACAATCATCTACCTATTTTAGAAAAAATAGTAAAGATGCTATAGAAACCTTTTGTAAATTGAAAACTCTACAATCATAGCGGTTTTGTTATTTAGTAACAAGATATGTTAAGTTTTCTAATGATTCTACGTAGGCGTAGGGTTTTGTATCTTAAGGGGTTTACCAATTAGAATTAATAGTATAAATGCACAGAGTTTTGATAAATATCTATTACAGACTTTACAGAAATTGAAGAGAACCAATCCAAGCTATCAATAAGTAGTGACCTATGGTCAACTATACATAACAAAAGAAAATACATTGCTTTGACTATAAAACAATATTTGAAAATGGTAACTTAAATTATAGACAAACGACGGGACAACAGAGGTCGACGAGGGTTCTGGCCGCTGGAGCCGGGTCTACGTCCGAAAACTGGAGCTGGAACACTAGTGATCGAACTTTGCTCGTAAGAAATAGTACGTCGCAGAGCATCAGGTTTGCCAGTATTACCAGCTGATCTTTGTAAGAAACTTGTTGAAGGACTACTAGATCGTTTGAAAGATGGGTTTTGATATTCTATATCACAAGGAACTCTTCCTTCGTAGGATATCGATCTTCCAAAATAAGGAGGACGGGAAGAAAATGAATGATCACGACTGGAACATGGCACAATCGAACCTAACGCAGATGAAGTAAAGGTAGATTGAGATGGTGTAATTAGTTTTCTATCAGATGCAGCTGGAAAATCTAATTTGTGAGATCCATACTCGACATTGTTTCTTGAGTACTCCTCAAAAGACGATGCCCTGGAGAAGTACGCTGATCTGTCTAAGGAAGTGGAAGATGGGGTTTCCCTATGTAAAGGTCTTCTGAAGCTGATTTCGTGTTCGTTTGAATTTGAAATGGGTTCTTCTAAGGATGACGATCTAAAATAGTTGGTCAACAAACTCGGAGAGGAGTTTGGATCAATGGAAGAATACCTCGGTGATTGCTCACGGGACAGTTCGGTGGACACTAAGTTTTCTTCGAATGATATCGATCGAGTGAATCTTTTGGGGGAGTGAACGTTAGATGTGGGTCTCTCTAGGTCTACTTCGTACTTTGGTGATGATTGGTTTGGAGTGGAGATCTGCCTTCTGAAAGCAAGACCAATAATAAATAAAACTGAAATTAAATAATAGTTTTGTAACAAAAATCAGCAAGCCTGGACCATTAGTATGTGGGCATTTAATGGTGGAAAGCTAAAAGTTACTTCTAAAAAGTAAAACGTTTTAATTAATTTATTTCAAATCGTTTTACAATCTAAATACTAAACACACCAATTTGAACAACAGTTTGTGCGTTCTACTGTATATCACCCCAGGGCTCAAACAAATGTATTTAAAGTATGCGTTTTCTAAAATATACTTTCTTACTATACTCTACTGTAACAAATTTCTTGCTTTCCATCTCTTTAGGTGGCTTTGACTGAATATTTCAATGCATTCTTTCTATGAGAGGGGATTTATAGAGTTTTATTGAGCAATATATTTAATTGTTGTGTGCTCCTTGTCTTTGTCTTCTTTGGCCAGTGGTACTTTAAGGAGGTGGTTTGCTATGAAATTAAATGCTGCAGTTTTGTGGGAATGTGGGTGGTTTGAGTTAACATGAATAACTTGATCGATGTGATTTGGTTTCTTGTACATTTTAAATTAGTGGTGCTGGTTATGCTTCATGATGGTTATATCGAGATAATTTATCGTTCAATTATACTTGTCGTGAAATACAAGTAGGCCTACCAAAGTGTATGTTTTGTCTTTCGTGTTTTACTTATGTTTAAAATGTATCGTAACAAGTTGACAGGAACAAGGATGTACACATATTTATTATGAAACAACATCTATGAAAAAGTGTTGAAGATGGCTTTATAAAGCCAAAACAGACGTACAATAAGTGCAATACTGGATTGCTTCAAGCCGGTAAGTCTTATATTTAATATTTAAAAGCAAATCCTGGCCAGCTAACCACTAAGTATTTGTTAAGATATTATGTTTGCTTGGTATCTAAACAAATATTGCTTGAATTGGTATAGTTTTTTTCAAATAGTTTCAAATATATTTTCTTATGTCTGTTTCCTTGTTTCTTATCTCGTGATGTTCAAATGTATCATAATATGACGATGAAAAGATTTCTACGCCTAGGAGGAAAACATTTTATTAATCAATTAATTACCTTAGAAGACCTGAAGGCGGTGATTCTCGCGGTCGCACACCAGAATGTTCCCATTGGACATCACTGCGACTCCCTCCAGTCCCTTGAACTCCCCGTCTCCCGAGCCCCAACACCCGAACGCCCTCAGGAAGCTGCCGTCCGGGTTGAAGATCTGGATGCGGTTGTTGCCTGAGTCCCCGACGATTATGTACCCTTGGTCGTCGACCGCCACGCCTCTAAAAAAATCAAAATATTCAAAACATTAAGTTTTCTAATTATAAAAGGATTCTTTTGATTTAAGGTACTTGTTTGTAACTTATCATTTAAACAAAATTTGTTTTATTATGTCTTATTCCTAGTTGTGTTAAGTGAAAAGCTTAAAAATTATAAGAGATTTTTTATATGAAAAAAATGGGTAATGGTACCGGTACAGTTTTGTACCTCACAGTTTTTTATTTCTTTATTCCTATCCTCTATTTCATATAATTTCTCTATTTTTCATTTCAACGGAATATTGAAATTTAATTGAAGTAATTCTAAAATATATTATATATAGGTTGAAAACGATTCTGCGACAGTGGATTTTATGTATAGAATATTTATAAAACTACACCTGAAATATTTGATGTTGTAAAATAATACAATGATGTAATATATTATATTGACCATACGTTACGTGTTACGTTACGGCACACAACAGAACAAAAAACTGTACAAAATTCTTAACAAAGCTAAGTTAGTAAATTTACATTGCCAACACATCATACGACTCAAAATTACAATAAAAAAGGGCAATATATACAATTGTAGCAACAAATATGATTTAGTGTGGCGAACAAAGAGCAGATGAACAAATTGACGAAATGCAATTTATGGTTTTATGAGCACCTTTAAGAGTTCTGGTGACATATTAAAGTCTATTGTTAATTAATTACTTTTAAGTCGTCATTTTACATAGACAACATTTCACAATGTATAACTTTATTAGCTAATAATTAACAAAACTACTAAGTGCACATTTTAGAGGAATGTTGTTAAAAGGACCGACGGAACATATGATGAAAATCTGAAAGTAGGTACGCACGAAATTATAAGTAACTTACATGTATAGAGCGTAGCTAAAATTTGAAATAAATAGTACATTTCTCTGTTGATAGAATATACTTGTTACATATTTATTTATTTATTTTAACGGACATACCTATTTTACCTTAAGCCCAGGTTCATAAAAGGATTTCCAGGGAAAATATAAAACATTATTTTTTTTCAAACTCCTATTTCATATATCGCATTTTAATAATCTCAGTTTTTATCATACATTAAAATTAAAAAGTATTGTATAGTTTGGTCCCGTTTCTTGTATTTTCTATTGAACTAACTAGGCCACACTAAAGGGGTGAACGCATTTTTAGTCTTAAATTAACTTGAAACCTTCGGTAAGTCATTGGATAAACTTTTTCAGGGGAAATACCGGGCTCAAACCAAACAAAATTTTCATAATTACGCCAAACCATGGAAAGCGAAAGGATTGTTTCATTAAAAGCCCGACATTTCAGACTTACGGTCGGCTTGGCGGGTGTCGGGTCCTTGGAAGGAGGGAGTGCATTTCTGAAATAGGATTTTGGGTGAAGGTAAGTTAGTGACATGCAATCGTTCTCTATATATTCTAAGTGAAATCATATAATTGCAAAACAAATGTATGGTAATATATTGTGGAAAATTACCTAACAGACTCGAATAATCTTCATAATCAATCTGATTTTACATAATGATAAATTATTTAGCTATTCTGAGTTATTATTCCATGTAAATAAAAAATTATAAAAAACGAGCACACACTATAAATATGAATGTCACTGGACCCATCTTGAGTACATAAAAAGGCTATTAAACAAATAACACATATTTATAAAGCATAAACACCATTAAAATGAGCAAGTATAGAGCATAATTTGCTTTCAATAAATAATCTAGGTCTTCGTAAAAAGTCATATCTCATAAAGCTTTTAAAGTAATATTAAACAGAATTTTTCTTTATTTATGATATATAAGATTATAGTTACTAAGCTAAATAGTGTTACAAGGAACTATGTTTTATCTATGGTGTTACTTAATCATAATGTGTGTTGGTGCAAAAACTTTGAATTAAAATAACATGTAGTATAATCCCATTGTAAATAGGGTATTTGATATGATTTGAAAAAAGCTCTACAAACTCAACCTCCTCAATTGCATAAGTAAACTTCTAAACTGATAAGAATTAAAATTAATACGTTAATCTAAGTAAATAAAATTAACATCTGTTTGTTAATTAATTATTCGATCAAACTAAATGCACACTGGAAAACAATATATGAACCCTTTAAAATTAATTATAATGCGTTATCAACAAACCTTGGGAACTTGAACTGCCCATTTTCCGACCCTTCAGTGCCGAAAGAATTTAGAACTCGGCCGTTTACGTCGAAAACTTGAATGCGATGGTTGTTGGAATCACTTACAATCACCTGTTGACAAAAAACATCAAATTTGTTAGTTTATGTTGCTCTAACATACATAAGGGACTGGCTGATTTAATATCTTGGTCTCTCTGGGTGGATTTGGATTTAGTTGCCTATAAGAATATGAGTTTAAACTATGCAAATGACGATTTCATGATTTAAGGCCTTTAGAAACTGCCTAGATTTGTAGGCCTTCTTACCTACAAAACAGACTAATAATAGGCCCCACAGATTAGAGATTACATAGGTTTCTGCGCTAAATGTCATACAAGAACTATAAGTTATACATCTCTAAAAATTATATAACATTACGTCATGATTAAGATAGTATTTATTAGGTAACTGTTCACCTCTTTGAGTAAACACATAACAATGAAATGTTATCACGCAGTATTTGTCAACAGATGCCCCTAAAGCTAAACAAAAGTACTGCAGGTATATGGAGCAGAACATTAAACGAGTGTCCAATATTTCATTTGTGTATAAAGCACAAAACTCTATGGGTTGCGGATGTTGTTTTCAACAGCCAATGAACATTTGCCGTGGCTTTATGGCTTTTATTGTAATGTGAGCAATAATATTTGGTGTTCATTTACATATCAGATTAATATAACGGTATTACTATTTGTTATTTGTTAGCTCTCAACAATTCCTTTTTGCTGAAAGTATTTATCTGCAAGAGAAATAAATAAAGAATAATTTTTGTGTAATGATTTTAGGATGGCAACACAATATTTTAGTTTTCGAAAACCAGCAGCCTGCTTTAATTTAAATTCTCAACCCAGTCTGACGAGGTCACAACGAGGTCGGGTACATAACGGATTTTGATCTTATTTCATATTTTATTTATCTAACAGAATAATACGAGTACGTTATTCTAATGCTACTTTACCTTGTTGGTGTTGGAAACTGCGATGTAGTGAGGATGTTCTAGTTGTCCTTGTTTACTGCCATGAGAACCAAACTTGCCTACAAAAGTGCCATCAGACTGGAACACCTGAGCAGGGATCGGATGTCAATAGAAAAAAGTGATGTAGGAATGTAGGAAAAAAGGATTCGCACTAACAAGTTAAGTTATAAGTTATTCATGTTTTATAAGTACTAACACGTAGGAGAATACATAAATGGTATGATAATATTTTTGTTGGGCATCACTCACCTTATTGAAGTCACGAGAACGTAGTCCTTGTCATGTCACAATCATACACAGTTCATTGCACATAAAAATATACAAAAATAAAAATAAAAATACTGTAAATCCAAATTTAAAATATCAGACAAAAGTTCTCAACACCGACGTTTCGCCGCACCAAAATCAACGTGCGGCGTTTTCAAGGTTATTCCTCTTCTCACGCAATCGTTTTGAGCGCCTAACCACGACTGACGACCCCGGTGGTGGAGGAGGGGGAGGGGGGACTCTGTTATCAAGAACAGCTGATGGCATTATCTTCTTTTGTTTAGATTTTTCTATGCATCCTTTAATTTCTTTCTCTATTAGTGTATTGTAAACCGGGCTGATATCAATGGATGCGTTGGCTAATGAATCTTGATCTGAAGTAATAAACAAAGCCTCAATAATATTCCTTTTCTTCCAATTAGGCTCCTTGTATAATATACAGCTTTCCTCCCACTTTATACAATGCCCGGTGTCATGAACGTGTTCAGATATTTTTGAACCATAGGTTACACGTGTATCAACTTTTTTCATGTGTTCATGAACCCGTATGAGAGCCGGTCTTGAAGTTTGACCTACATAGCTACGTTTACACGAGCATGGGACCTTGTACACCACGTTTTTATTGTCATTACCACAGTTAGGGGGTTTCACTTTAGATACCTGTCTTCTTATCGTGTTTTTTGAGGTAAAGACCGTCCTAATACCTTGCTTAGCATTCACGCGCCGTATTTTCTCCGAAAGGTTTTTAATATACGGAATGCATACTGTGGCCAGAGGTTTGTTATCTTTAGGTGGTAAACTTGTATCAGAGCTGGATATTTTTCTTAAGGCTTTATTTATGAATCTTTTAGGGTACCCACTGTTAAGTAAGCGGTTTTTTATAGTTACTACCTCATGCTGAAAAGTCTGTTCATCATTACAGATTAGTTATAATTGGGCTTATTAAAAAGGCGAAACTAATCTGTAGTGATGAACAGACTTTTCAGCATGAGGTAGTAACTATAAAAAACCGCTTACTTAACAGTGGGTACCCTAAAAGATTCATAAATAAAGCCTTAAGAAAAATATCCAGCTCTGATACAAGTTTACCACCTAAAGATAACAAACCTCTGGCCACAGTATGCATTCCGTATATTAAAAACCTTTCGGAGAAAATACGGCGCGTGAATGCTAAGCAAGGTATTAGGACGGTCTTTACCTCAAAAAACACGATAAGAAGACAGGTATCTAAAGTGAAACCCCCTAACTGTGGTAATGACAATAAAAACGTGGTGTACAAGGTCCCATGCTCGTGTAAACGTAGCTATGTAGGTCAAACTTCAAGACCGGCTCTCATACGGGTTCATGAACACATGAAAAAAGTTGATACACGTGTAACCTATGGTTCAAAAATATCTGAACACGTTCATGACACCGGGCATTGTATAAAGTGGGAGGAAAGCTGTATATTATACAAGGAGCCTAATTGGAAGAAAAGGAATATTATTGAGGCTTTGTTTATTACTTCAGATCAAGATTCATTAGCCAACGCATCCATTGATATCAGCCCGGTTTACAATACACTAATAGAGAAAGAAATTAAAGGATGCATAGAAAAATCTAAACAAAAGAAGATAATGCCATCAGCTGTTCTTGATAACAGAGTCCCCCCTCCCCCTCCTCCACCACCGGGGTCGTCAGTCGTGGTTAGGCGCTCAAAACGATTGCGTGAGAAGAGGAATAACCTTGAAAACGCCGCACGTTGATTTTGGTGCGGCGAAACGTCGGTGTTGAGAACTTTTGTCTGATATTTTAAATTTGGATTTACAGTATTTTTATTTTTATTTTTGTATATTTTTATGTGCAATGAACTGTGTATGATTGTGACATGACAAGGACTACGTTCTCGTGACTTCAATAAGGTGAGTGATGCCCAACAAAAATATTATCATACTGAAGTATTGACCTCGCCTAATATACCATGTCGTTTAAGAATACATAAATGCATACATGAACTGAGCTAATTGTGTCAGGACATGAGAAGCTCTACTTGCAAAAAAATTAAAATGTAGCTAAAAATAAATTGAAAGAAAAATACGAATTCCCTCTCTAAAGCAATACAATACAATATTTTACACGTTTTGAAGACATTTAATCTTAATAATACCTTTTCTTAAAACTTCTTATATAATCCGGAATTCAGATATTTTAACTATTTTATTTTGTATCATTATGAATACTTTTTTCGTTAATGAATGTCAATTTTCATTGATTGTTAAAAATCTACTTAGGAGCTCTAGATTAACTAAAAAAGCATACCAATTAGGTTGAATTAGTAGATTCAAAACCACAGCAAACTATAGTTTTTATATAACTAATAATATGCAATTTGTTATAGTTTTGTAAATCTTATGTATGTACGTTGTGTATCTAGCGTAATGTTGTGATGAAGCTTAACAAATAATAAATTTTTAATGAAGCTTATACATCCAGACACTTTCTTACGTTTAACGTTTTTCTTAGTAGAACATTAAAGGCATATAAGTCATGTGTTCTATATGAAAACCAGGTTAAAACTAAGAGTAATAAGGTTAATTCATTCATCAGTATATTCACAAGAGTGCAAATGAACGAAAGAATTAAAATACAGATAAAAGGTTCGTGAATTTTACCTGTACTCTGTGGTTTTCTTTATCACAAACATAAATGAAGCCGAGAGCGTCTGTGGTGATGCCCCATGGATAGTTGAATCTCCCATCAGCTGTGCCTTGGGATCCGAACGATCTTAGGAATCTTCCTGACGGATCCATCACCTGAAAAATATAAAACCTGTGTCAACTGAGTATAGAATAAGTAAAGATTTAGACTAACGGCTATTAAATTTCAACGCTAGGAAATATTTAAGTTTGTTTATATTTGGTGCTTAAAAGGCTTAGCTAATAGATTGCTAGGCATTTTAGAATGCTATATATGACTTTAAGAGATTATATCTGAGGGCTTAGCAAATCACTTTCCTCCCTACATATACCCCAATAATTGCCGGTTATTTATTAAAAACATTAAATCAAAGTGGTTGGAAGTAATTCTGATCAACGAGGATTAAAAATGAGTGTGTATCATCTTTGTAAAACCAATTTTCTATGATATTACTATTTCCATTGCACTGTCTTTTCCAACGATGTAAAATATTATTGTTTGTTATGTACAAAATTGTTAAATTATTTATCTCTAGTTGTTTTTTTGTTAAAAGGCTCAGAGTTTAAAAGGTTTCACCTGGTATTACCAGTAATATATTAGGACCATTTTAATAGAACGAGTACTCTTTTTTTCTTTTTATTTTAAATCTTGTGAACATTACTTTCATTTTAGGATAGTTTAAAATAAAACTGCATTGAACAATGAACAAATTCCTATTTCTTGCATTCTATTCGACTGTAACAACAAAAATGTTGTTTCTTATTTTGTATACACCCATGATAATCCGTGTAAATGTATTAAAATGTTAACAATATTGCTCAATTGAAATACAATCGAATAATGACCTAAATACACACGATTCCAAAGCCAAACGAAATAAAGAGGCTTGCAAACGGTAACCACTGGGTGACAGGTTCAATGTGTTTGGTCGCTAGACCAGTTCCCGCCAAATAGTCTGGTTACCGCGGGTTATTGGATGCCAACCAGCTTGTCAACATCTGTTCTGGTTGAAATGTTTAATGATCAGCCCACCTGTATGCGGTGGTTGTATCGGTCTGCAATGATGAACTGGCCGATCCTATTGACCGCCACCCCAGCCAAGCAATCAAACTCCCCCTCTGCGTTCCCGTACGATCCAAACTCCTTGGAGAATATTCCGTTAGAGTCAAAAACCTGCAAAAATCGTGTATTTTTGTATTGCATTTGTGCATTGTTTAAACAATCAATATACAATATTTGCAATGTAATGTTTGCAACACAAAGTCCAACTGTGTAACAGAAACTAGCCATCACCAAAATGCTCCACAAAAAATGTTAAACAATATATTTAATTGTAAATATATTTTTTTTTTATCAAAGTAATGAAAACATGTGCTTTTTTATTTTATTGACTGGATTGGAAATGTGCATTTTGAAAACATAACATATTACCATAAATGTTAAACATATATTATGTATGAACTTTATTGTTGACTTGTGTAATACGTTAGAGCTAACCTGAACTCTGTGGTTGGAAGAGTCCGCGACTACGATGGAGTTGTCTGGAGCCACGGCAATACCTCGTGGCCAAGTGAAACATCCAGGCTCGCTCCCCCGACTCCCTACCTTGAACAGCATCCGCCGCTTTTGCAGGTACTGGTTCTTAGTACCGACTGCTGCGAAACCTGCAAACATCACAATCCAGACATATCATGGTTCATCAAATATGCACTGCAATCTCCGGAAATCACTGGTGATAAATGTTTCGTTTCGTGTTTCCGTGCAATGCGTTTTGTTAGTTATTAGCTCCCACGAATACTATACAAGGCCCAGGATGGATCATAAACATAAACAAATGACGTTATTGGCCCGAAAGGAAACAAAACCTACTAACCCAACCTAACCTAACCTATACTAATAGCATTAATTAACATATGGTTTTGTTTATTTCGGGCCAAACTAGTTGCACTGTAACTAGTGGGTGAAGTTGCACCTTGCTGCACACTAGAGAAGTGTTTACGCATGAGTCCTAAGCGAGTGTGGATATTTTTCTTACAGTTACTATAAATCATATAAATAATTTGTAGATAATTTCAAACACTCTACAGCACGTTTTTAGGTTGGGTTAATCCAAACATTGGACGAAATGGGAAATGCCGCACAAGCTGAGCGTAGTCGTAATATCTTCAAGTGTTGCCAACTTATTAGCTTACACCATTGACTATACACCTCTACTACGCGTAGAGGTGTATAGTCAATGCTTACACGGAATACGTGCATAATAAAAATACGCTATTTTGCGTTCTTCGGTGGGAATACTGGTGTGCACCAACGTAAAACCTGGGTGCTAAAGTAAAAAACTGTGCGCCAAAGTAAGGCTTTCTGTACTATCATCTGTGCAAGGAAGCATACTTTGTCGGGTGACTGAAGGAAAACGTGATTTGTTTATGTTTATGGTCCATACCGGTTCTTTTTTTAAAGTCAGTTTGAGATCTTACCGGCCGGAGCCATAACTTGAGTAGGAGAGGTGGGGGAGCCTGGCAGGTTTTTTTGATCGTCTGCAGAGCTGTCTTCTGAGTTGGTCCTGAGAGGAAGCCCAAGACTGAGTCGTCTAGAGGCTGTACCACTGCTGGTGTCTTTACCATCCTTGCCTCTGTTGCCGTACTTGTTCTTGAGGTACCTTGCCCATGAACTGAGGGCGGCGCCGTCCTTCTCACCACTGCTGGCTCCAGCTAAAACATACAGAAGATGAGGTAAAAAAAGAAAACTGAATCAAATAACAACCAATTTGAATGTTATTCATTATTTTGTTCTTACGAACACCAAGTATGAACTGGAAAAATATTTTTGGAGTTTCAAGGTTCGTAATTTGGTTCTTTTGACTCATGAGGCATTACAAGGTTTATATGGGTTTACAGCTACTTAAAGTAAAGTTTGTTTATCAATCTTTTTATTTACTGCCATACTTAGAAAACCAGGAAAACGTAATCCAGATTCCAAGGAGTTCTTTTTATCTTTAAGACGCAATGCAAATCCAAATCAATAAGTGTAAATATTAAGTCTAACAAATATATTCGTTTCAATATTGAAATTGAGCTAAGAGTTCATAGTAGAGTTTGACGTCAGCCACGTGGCTAACTGAGACCTTCTAGTGCCTTTTGTAAGTAGGCCTAAGGGCGAACAATTTGGCTGCATTCTCCAATCGACAATGAGGTTCACACTGAAAGCTACTAAGGTTTGTTAACAAAAAATTAATTAATAACGCCATTTGTGAATACTTACAAATTAATTTATGATCAAATTTAAGTTTTATGTATTTTTAGGAAATATTTTAAAACTTTTTTTAACGTAGGTTACAAATATACTTTTTACGTTAATAGTTAATCCAGAAAAGTCTCCGTCTCTCAACAATATTCAGAGTTATTGTGTTGATCTCTTGATAATTATTTTACAAGTTGTTTAATATTAAAAGTTAAAACTAATGTAAACATGATGAAAATTGCCTTGTTGGTTAAATGTTCTTTGTTAAAAAAACAAAAACTGTTATAAATTAATCATAGTGAATAATATTTGGCACAAAAAAATACAATTTCAACCAAGAAAAATTTTGTATAGAAAGGTCACATGTTTTAAAAGTGGTGCATTGTAGCCATGTTTTGAGGATCTTCCAGCATAACAGATAATTTTGAGACAAGCTAGAAGTTAACCTAGCTCAGCTAAGCTAGGAAATTAACCTAGTTTTTTAATACTCTATAAGTAAAGATATTTTTAACTTTTTCAGACGAGATAGTTCTGGACCAAGGCAGGAAAATTGTATAATTGAATTACTAAAATAAAAAACAACGTAAAAGAGGAAGCCCTTCCTCTTTGAAGCACCCTTATAAAACTTTCATTAAAATTCGTAGTACTAAATCTATGGTAGTGTTTGCTTCAACAAAACCTCAAACTAACCTACACACAGTTTGTCACTTATACAGGGTGTCTCACGCAAGGTGTCTCAAATTGATTACGGAAAAACGGCTTAACGTACAAGGATGAAATAAAATTATTTTCCGCTAAATCAACCCCAAGGAATAACGTAAAAATATTTTTAACTTTCTCCCAATACAGGGTGTGCCAAAAACTGAGGGTCACTAGTTCGAATCTCGGAATTTTCAAATGTAAACATATGTCATACTATACATCATTTTAAAGGTATTTGATAGACAAACATTTTGGCAAAAACAGAAATTAATTATCTTTTTCCGTTTCAAAATGGCGGCAGATTTTTAGAAAGATATTTAAACATTTGTAATAATCTGTGTTTCCTATACCATCCTATACCAATGCATTTAGCTCTTCTCCGGTTGAATTTTCTACTCGTTATGAAATTAGCTTTACTTTGATATGCTACAAGTAACGGTTTTTTGGAATGATAAACATTAAAAAAAAAATTATTTTTGAAAGTTTGAAAATGACTAGCCTATTCTTCAAAATTTTCAAATAGCAACATACATCAAGTGGCACATCATTTTATAGGGTTTTTATTTCCTAACAACTTTGTAATTTACACTTACTTCGTATCTCTTTCAGTTTTTGCGTAAATAACAAAAAACCTAATTTTCCTATATCAAATGCATGTTATTTGGGTTTTGCGTGGTTTAACACCTAATGAAATGGGGCCTTTAGTGTTAAACCGAGTACTTAAGTTTGCTGCGACAGGGTAGGGAAAAGTGTTTTGATAGAATGTTATTAGTAGAGGTTGAAATAAATAAATTTGTCAAATCTAAATAAATCGGTCAATGACACTCTCGGAATAGCTACTAACCTATAAGGAAATTTGCTAACAATAGATTTTGACTATCAAACAGCTATTGTATCTGTACTCATTTTCACAATTTCGGTTGTTTTTACAACAAAAAAAAAACACCTTTTCATGTATTTTTGAGCTCCCACAGTCAAAGTTATCGTCAAAACAACTCATATTCACTTCAGCTGGTCATATTTGCTTCAGCTGCTGTTGGTTTTACCTACCTGTGGAAGAAGGGCGTTCGGGCGAGTTCTCTCGTGATTTGAGAGTGTGAGTTGAACGACTCCTGGCCAGGTCACTTCCACTCTGGCCGTACCCCTTGGCCGCCATGTATGCTGCAGGCGACGTCGTCTCGTCCGGGTCTTCGTCTTCGTCAGCTCCGAAGTTGTGAGAACTCTTACTGCGAGCTAGACGGGTCTTGCGGTCCTGCCCAACAACGGGATGTTATATTAACTAATGTAGTATATAAATATGCCGGGACACAAGAGAAAATAAATGTCATACAAAAGAAAACGATTTATTTAGCTCCATAACTTTGGTTATCGAATTACTAACGTTAAACCTCATCAACAAAATGGAGAAACCACTTTTAACAAAGCTTAAGAAATGGTCTGTAAATTGTTTTATAGAAAACTACTTAATTCTGGACAAACACGCATTAATCATTGAAACCCTACGGATTTTAAGGCAAAATAATTAAACAACAACTTAATACTACTTTTAATAACTACGTTAACGGACTTAGTAGATAACTAGTAGTAGATAAGATTTAGGGTGATAAATCGAAACGTTTTCTCACAAAACCTTTTTAAAACCTTTTGGATCCATTATTTACCTTTGAGCTAATTCCCTTTACTAGTTTAACAGGCAAACTTAACACAAAACAGACAATAAATCAACTCGGATCTTAATTACCTTGAGGGCGGAGTATCTGGACCTAGCCGTGCTTGGGTATCTGGAGTCATCAGTGCCAGCAGAAGAGAACTTCCTTTCAGGCGCCTCCTCCTCCGGACTGACGGCGGCCGTGCTCTTGCTCTTGTTCAGGAATCGGCTCTGGAACCCCCCAGGACCGTACCTGGAGGAGGTAGGTTCCTCCTCGGCTGTGGTGGTGGACGTTCGGGAACGCCAGCTGGGGGTGGTACTGGAGGAGTCGTCCTTGTTACCGTATCTTGACTGATAAGAGCTATCACCGTACCTGGAAAAACGATATGAATGTTATAAATTTACCATGGTGAATTTGTTACACATTTCGCCGGCAGTACGTCGTACGGTTTTACTTAGCAGTTCATAAAGTATTTTTCTAACTAAATAACCTTTCATAGTGAGATCTTTTTGTAGTATTTTGTAGTATTTTCTTTTGTAGTACTAACCTTGGCGTAACTTAAAGGCATACACATTCCTTGAGCTCAAAGTAAGCTTATGTTGAAGCTTATTCTTTTACTACTTCCGTAGTTTCTTGACATACAAAATTATTACAAAATAAGTACAAAATTAGCTTTATATTTTTCTGAGCAAAAATCTTTGAAGCTCTTAAATAAATATACTAGGTGTATTGAGTATTCAAAATATATACTTAGTTATCCTTTTTATTAACTATAAGAGGTCAAAAGGTTAAACTATCTTTCAATTTAGTAGATAAGCAAAACAAGATATTACGGTTGTACAGTATTTGGAAAATAATTCATAAAATATTTGAAACTTTTAAAACCATTTTATACGCAAACATTTGTCACTAAATAATGTTCTCAAAGTTAACAAACCTGAATACCTAATAATATTTTTTTTGGTTTAACTCAATGTTTTTGAAAATATTAATGATTACTGAAGGTTAACATGAGGGTGTAAGGGTGATGCTAATATCTTATTTGTTGTAGGTTTGGGTTATCCGTAGGTGATTTATATGCAGATAGGGTAGCTGGCTGTCTGTTTATATGACTGCCAAGGAGTGATGCATGGTCTTGGAGCGTGTACTGCATAAACATCCCTTGGGGAACAATACACAAGACAAAGTAAGGCTCATCTTCTTGTGAGACTATCAAGGGCTGAAGAAACCATAAAACGGTGTTTTTACTACAAAGTTCCAGCTATAAAGCGACGTGTCCCGTCGATTTAGGTATTTATTTGTAAACAATAGTGTATGAATCCCGTTTGAGATATGGAAGTTAAGGGCTTAAAAATGTAATGGAGTTGTCGATTAAAGTATAAGTATATGTAAATGGCCTATTACCAAAGTGTGTTATACTTTATGTTATAACCAATGTCTATTCGAATGTTTAAGACTCATATGTTAAAACTCTTTATTGAAATAATTATGTTATTAATTGAATACGAGTGATGTAAACTGTCTTAAAATGTATTTAAATTTAATTTAAACCATCAACTAAATATTAATTCTAAAAGACAATTAAGTAAAACACAATTATTAGGGTTTGTTTATATGTGTCAATACCAACAAAACTATATTTACTGATTCCCATGTTGATTAAATTATGTTACAATTTTTATTTTAGTTTCACGATCTATTGATTAGTAGTATAAATCACCATTTACCAGTTTTATGGAAATTGAATACAAAACATGTATTCTTTTACTTTTACTTTGTACATTTCGACGTGAGTGGAATTATAATCAACTGTTTCCAAACATGTCTGACATCATGTGTAAAATAATAGAGGCGTAAATATAGCAAAAATGTATTTAAAGTCAATAATTAATGATTTTGGGAGAATGCATGCTATGTTATACCAAGTTTAGGGATCAGACTCAAATTTACTGTTTTACTTTATCATTAGGAAAGTAATATTAATCCAATAGCAATAAACCTAGTATGTATCTAATGTCTTCTAAGCTGATAATTCAACAGTAAAAAACTGTTTGGTTACGAGGGAAATGAACACATACACTTATACAAAAGTAAACTTGGGTTCGCTAAGGTGTAACATCTACCATACACCTTTTAAGGTAGTGGTACAAATTATAACCCAATAAAACAATATTCAACATAAATTAGGTCATGAAACCAACCTAAAACACAACACATAACTACTTTACAAAACCAATTAGGTAGGCTATATAAAATATATATTTTAAATGTTATTGATATTGTGTAAAATCGGACAGGTTTTTTAAATGACTTATCACACAAACGTAACAGTTTTCGAGTATACGACTATTTGAACAAAAGGTCACTTGCTTCTGGGGACACCAATAAAAACAACTACAATAAACCTGAACTAAACCTTTACGTGAACGCTACAGTAATGCAGTTTGGAACATTCTTAACTCTTGGTTAATGTTAGGAGCATCAAAAATGCGTAGAATATATACTTATAGTAGAAGATTAATATAGGGGGTTACACTAGACAATAAAGATCTACATTTTTCAGTTTTTAACACATTGGGGAAAACTAGCAAATACATTTATTCAAAAGGGATCGTTGGTCACGATATCCACAAGGGGTTTAGGATCTGCTAAATACACTTTACACAAGGGACTAAGTTACCTCGACCCGGTTGATTCAGGATCAGGGTCTCTGGATCTAGTAAGATAAGAGTGAGGGTCGTCCCTATCTCTAGCGTAAGATGTTCTGTAGCTGGGCTGGCCATACCTAACAAGATATACTCACCTTAGACAAACTAAAACTTAAAAGAATGCTGTTCTTGGATTTAACAGTGTATACTTACGCATATTTAAATATAATTTATATATTTAACCAATTGTCTCGTATTCATTTAAGTTTTTCTTTCAAATTTTGACGTTTTTAATTTTGTAACTGGGCATGTTTGCTGTGCACTGTGAAATGTGAATTCATAAAAATAATCATTAGGTATTGTTTACTCCACTTATATTTCTAAAAATGTTAGTGCTGCAATTAATGTTTGTTGCTTTAATATCTATACTTAATCAAAAGCAAATGTCGCTTAGTTGCACGTCCAAACAATCAACAAAGCAATTACCAACCAACAACTTTAATTTATTTTCTTGTTTTAATTGGATTCGCAGTGGGTCGTAAAATGTGCAGTATTTTTTTTTTTTTTTTTTTTTTTTTGTAAATCACTATGTTTCAATACATCTTAGCATGATTGTTTTTAGTATTTGGCTAAGCAAGAATATTCCGATCTAGGCTACGTTGTAGAATGTTCTTTACAACTGTGTATCCCAAAACATCTGCCTTTTACACTAGTCACATAAAATCTTAATTGTTATAAAGATCGACAGTGTAGAACTTAAACCATTATTTTGGTAAACCATTGAGTGGAAGTTAAATATAGCTTTCCCTATTTTAAAAGTAATATAAAAATAAATGGCATGTTTTTTCTTCTTCCTTTTTGTTTTCTCTTTGCGTATTTCCGTAAGCAATGTGATGTTGGTATATACAAGCTGTGACATAACTCTATAACTTTCATGACAACCTTATACTACTTCGTGGTTTGTGAGAGGATGCGTCACATACTCCTCTTGTTTCTTAAATTATGTTTTTACGTTCACATCTTTTTGTATGGTTTCAGTTATTATAATTTCTTTGTTAATGACACTTCCTGTTTATTAATGTAGGTTAAATACGTGGTAGAAAGATGTAATGCTGTAGGGAATATTTTTCCATAGCACATAGTCTTGAGAGGTGCTACAACATGAGGTCAGATGAAAGATCATTTTTCTTGCAGTTTCAATATGTATGTTTCAGTCCTGCGTAATAGTCTTCCTTGCTGAATTGTTGTTTTTTTGTTGAAAAATAATATGCATCTTTTGTGTGGTTGACTTTTATGTATGCGTTTCAATATCTTTGAGTGAAAATATTGTCCTCAAGAATAATTTGTATCCAATAAAACCATGTGAATAGTATTTTTTATCACGTTTCTTGGTACATGTATTTATGAGTTTCACTCCATGTAAACTGTTGCAAGAAGTCGACGTAATTAGAGGTACCTGTTTCCTGTAACCTCTTGCTCTTGACTTTCTCTTCTCTTTAGTATGCTCGCAGGAGCCTGGGACGATTCTCTCGTAAGATAAGACTGGTCTCCCCATCTGTAAATCCAAACTTATACGTTTAAAATGTCACTTACATCTCAGCTGACCCACGACTTTCATCAGGTGTGGTGTTGGTGGAAGCAATAAAGGTTTCTATGCATGTATCAATTCTTTACTTTGTGGAATCCATTGTATATCGTGCATTCTTATAGTATATTTTCGCTGTGTATAATTATATAAATTTTAGAATATTTTCGTCATGTAAATCACCAGTGAAGGTTTAATTTTCTTTTACCTCTCTAGACAATAATAGATTGAATCCAACTAAATATCTTGTTTTGTTGTGCGACTAAAGCAAAGCTTTCAATACTGCTTAAAAAGAGGCCTTGTTTTGCCCATTCCATTTCTCTATTTAAACCTGCATTTTCCAGTCAAGCATGGCCTTCGTTCTGTTTGTAGGACTTTTAATAAAGTAAGAGAAATCCACGCCTTCTCCCTTGGTGAAAATTACCGAAACATGGATTGTTGGCTTCAGCCTATGACATTGCAGCCTAGATCTGCACATGGTTGCTAAGATGACAAATTAAAAAAAAATCTCAACCTAAATGTAAACATACTTTTAATGACATATATTTTTTTATGAAAGATTTTTAAAGTTTGTAGTAGTCATTTAATATTTTCCCTATATTGAAATAGCTTTACCTATGGCAAAACCAGTTGTTAAAATAAAGATCAATACATTATAATGGTAAGAATACCCTTTGGGAGGGAACACTATAATGTGGTAGAAACTATAAAAACTATGTACTCACTACGAGCCTACCTTGAAGTGTAACCTTCGTCTTTGCTACTCCTCCTCGTGCTAGTACCGCTCCCAGAATCCCTTGCCTGTTGAGATCTTGCCAGAAGAGGACCAATGTCTGTCTTCTCCATGGGCTTAGTCACCGTCTTCGTCTTATCGTCTGATTCCTCTTCGGACTCTGACTCTTCACTTTCAGAACTCTCCTCGCTGCTTTCCTCTTCCTCATCCTCTTCTACCTTGGCTGCCGGAGTCGGAGCTGTAGGAGTTGTTGGGGTTGATGGAGTGCTGGAGGTCCCAACACTTGCCCTGTTAGCTGTTCAACATAACATAACTTGTAAAATTTGTTGTATAATAAGGTATAACACCCATTGGCCAAGGAGATAAGTGGACATTTCGTCCCGCCTTAAAGCTGGAGCAGTTTCAAAATGAAAACGGGCATTGTTGAAATAAGCCAAAAAAATAATACCTTGATATCAAATACCGATTTCAATTTGATCCTAAAACCAAGTAGAGTTGACTGGACCTTTGCAAACTATGAGTATTTCTACTATTATTTAAAATTTGAGTACCAAAAATTAGGGAAGGAAATATAATATCAGTTGTAAACTCTACGAGTAACTAATTCAAATATTTGAGTAGACATTGACTACTGCTAGCTGGTTCATGTAGATGAGACGTCTACTACAGTATAGTAAATAGTGAACATAATGCTAATTATATTATAAAGATAAAGATATTCTTAATTATTTAAAATTAATTTGTTCAATCACACACAAGTAATAAAATAGAATAGTTAATTATTTAAGACTGTATACAAGCACACAATGACCAACTAGAAAAATAATTGACTACAATTATCCTTGTTTTATTCCTCCATTGGTATAGGGGATCTAATTCCGTCCACATATGTTAAATCTCCCCTATTTAATTCCAACAATAATTGATTTTACGTTCCCTATCGGTTGATATAACATTCTTACACAACCAAATAGTATTATATTCTTTGCAACGTAACAAATAATAAAAACATATTTAAAATATTGTTAAATAAATACATCACGTTTTAAATAATAGCGAGACTCATAATATGAAAGCTTCAGGTGACTGTGACAACGATTATTTTCACCTTATGTAGGATTATTATACATTCACATAAATAATTAATAGTCTACTATTCATTTAGTTTATTAATGCCAGTTTTCTAGTTTTGCTAGTTGTTGTTATAGCAAAATAGGAATATGTCAATATTTATTCTATATCTTAGGGCTTTCATTTTCCCAGATATGTTTGCCCCCAAGACGCATTTGAACTTTCGGGGTGTATATATATTAGGCTACACGTCAACTATGGCACTTTCTGACCTCATAATTAATAACAATGTTTTCTTAATCAACATTTTACAATAATTGCATAATGCGATTATAAAAGATGTTTAATTATTTAATCTTGCGTGCGACATCACAGTTTCATGTATAAATTATATGTTTACCATTAATTTATTTTGATTGCTTAGTGATATCGAGCTCATTAGTTAAAAAAATAGTACTATTTTATAGGCCGTAACTTATGATTATGAAATTTTATGTTTGGTTTTAATGTATTTACAAATTTTAAAATCATCATAAATATTATAATTTTGATTTTAAATAAATCTTAAAGCTGAATTTGTATTTAAACCTGAATCTAAATGATTTTACAAATTTAACATAAAAACATTGTAGATATAAGATTGCAATTTTTTTTAATTGTCAAAAACTTTCCCCTTGTATCAGGTGTAACACGCAATTAACTTTTGCTTTGACCCTGGCAATGTAAAGAACCTTTTTTGTTCACGTTTGGAAGTATAATTAGTAATATTGACGCTGAGGCAAAACTGAGACCTTATTTAGCATTCGCAATGGCGATGGTTTAAAATATATTTATTACATGCATTGAAAATTGCAAAACTCAAACTCCTGGATAGGTGGTAGATATTTATCACCTTTGTTTATGGATGTCACAACAATCTTATACATAGTTGTATAACTATATCGCTTTTAATAAATTTTCACTTTATATGAATCTACTAATTAAAATTTTCCTTCATAGAATTAACATATTTCCTATGATTACCAATGAGAGATGTACATTGTTTGATAACAATAATGGTAATATATGTATCTACTTAATTATAAGTTCGAGGTCAACGTCTATGTCAAATAGGGCGTTGTATAAATTAATGACCAAACAGTATGTATATTTGTACAAAGTGAAATGTTAAATTGGGCATTAAATAATAAATGGTTTGAAAAAATCCTGTGGATACCCACAAAAATGTATATATTTAAAAGATTAAACTAATGCTGAAAAGTTGAATCATATAAATATTCGTAAAAAATAAAATATAGTTAAACCTTAATGTTTTACTACTATTTATATCCTATATCTAATATATTATATATTGTATACAGTGTGTAAATTAAGTATGGAAACAAATCTGTATTTTTAAAACCGAAATAGATAGAAATATTCTATTTGTGGCAATAATAGTTAACAAAGATTCCGCAATTTTTCACATGAAAAATATTTTTTTACCCCCCTAACAGGGTAGGTGGTAGGGGGTGACTTATTTTTTTCAAATAGCAACCCCTATTGAGTGACCCCTCATTTTGAAGGGTTTGTCAAAAGAAACACAATGACGCAAATCCGAGGTGAATATCTCACTCCTAGCTAACATGGCGGATATTCCAAAATGGGCTTTTTTTTACAAAAATTAAATTTTTCATTACCCACCATTTAGGCTAGGGGTGAAATATCTACCTCGGGTTTGCGTCATTCTTTTTCTTTTAACAAACCCTTCAAAATGAGGGGTCACTCAATAGGGGTTGTTGTTGAAAAAAATAAGTCACTCCCACCCCCTACCCTGTTAAAGGGGTTGAAAAAATATTGTTGATTAAAAAAATTGCGGAACCTATGTCAACAATCAATTCCACAAACAGAATATTTCTATCTATTTCGGTTTTAAAAATACAGATTTCTTTCCATTATTTGTGAAATTGGTGCTTTTCACGTACAATAAATCAAATTTTTGAATATCCGCCATTTGGGCTAGGAGTGAGATATTCACCTCGGATTTGCGTCATTGTGTTTCTTTTGGCAAACTCTTCAAAATGAGGGGTCACTCAATAGGGGTTGCTATTTGAAAAAAATAAGTCACCCCCTACCACCTACCCTGTTAGGGGGGTAAAAAAATATTTTTCATGTGAAAAATTGCGGAATCTTTGTTAACTATTATTGCCACAAATAGAATATTTCTATCTATTTCGGTTTTAAAAATACAGATTTGTTTCCATACTTAATTTACACACTGTATACTCCTGTTTCGCGTACCACAAATCACATATCAACAAACAGTTTTTTTTTTTTTAGAATACCTTTTTGGTAATGTTTGTGTTTGGGTGTACTAGAATTATTTCAAGAAAATATTGAAAATTAGTAACAAAATTACTAGAGATTATAATTTAGACATGTAACTTGATACCTTAAGCTTAAAATTAAAAATACAAAACAAAAATTAGTAAATTAAACATTTTTTCTGCACGCTTTATGTACAATGAGTGTTTTATTCGGTTGTGAAATCAAACCCTGTAGTATGTAAAAAACGCAAAACCATAATTAATCATCTTCAAAAAACGCAGGGTTAAGTTGCGTTGTTACAAAAGTGCAGTAGTTTTTAAGCGTGTGCATGTTATTTTTTGTAAAATCTTTTACCACTTGTGGTGGGGGGATTTATTACCCCTAGGCTACCCCCCCTCAGTAGCCTGGAGCTTGGTTTGGTGGTGTTATAAGCGCCCCTCCTCGTCACCTAAGCCAAAATCCAAATTTTATTTACAAACTTACAAAATTATCTAATCACTTATCGACAGTAAGTAATTTAATCGAACTTTAACTAGTTTGTTCCATCAAATATCATTTAGAAATGGTACTTAATATGCACATCAAGAGCTTGTTAATTAGTTTAATTCTTAAATCAAATGTTACAACTGTACTGGAGATGACTAATATTTCAGTGATATTAAGAAAAATCTATTCTTAGCAATAAAAGCTGTTGAAAAAATTAAAAAGTGAGTATAAAATCAAGTAATGTATTAAATAAAACCGTTAACTTTGTTAGAACAGAATTTATGGTATGTTAGATTAATTTCGGAATTTATTTGTTTGATTAAACATCCATTTCTCCAAGTGGGTATCATTTTACGTTTCACTGGCTTCGGTTCCGCTTAACTAGAGATTAATTTTCCCTTTGTTTGACAAATCGTTTGTTTAATTTTTGTGACAACCGAACCAATCACCAATTAACGGGCTTACAAATATAACGAGTCGACACAGGGGTGGAGAACTAAAAACAGACCGGATTAGTCGATAATTGCAGCTGGCTTAACCTGAGGCTGCGTGTGTTTGTACCACGTTAATTATACCTTTACAAGCTAACTTGCTGATTACAATGTAAACAGGTTTCTGGAATTATACTAGTGTTATAAGTCATTTTGCTCTTTCAGTATTAAAATGTGAGTTTACTTATTATTTGGCATTAATTCTTCCAACGAATTAATCACATTTCGTCTGTAGTAGTGGGGGTTGTGCGCTTATGGAAAACCCCTTATCTACCTCATCATGGCAAACCTCATCTATGCTAATATTTTTGAGGAATTCTTTTAAGGTACCATCCTTCCTCATGCAAGAAGGTGTCTGTAGGTTTGGTTTTCGTTTAACACTGAAGTTTTAAGCCCCGTTCTGATGAATTTTATGACTAGTTCGGTACAAAACCTAAAATGCAGGTTTTGTTGAATATTCAATGGGGAGGTATCATAAATCCTCGGTAATTTGTAAAGTTAAATGCAGCTCAAAACTAATTATATCTATTAAAAAAAGTCTGTAAAAATCAAATGGATTTTAACACAAATAAATGTATATGATAGGTATAATAAATTCACAGTATCTCAAGACAACATATCGGTTGGTGTATGCTGATGCTAGTCTAGGGGATAGTGCTTTGGAGTTTAATTTGAAAGAAATACTCCTCACGACAATGGTTTATTATTTCAAAATTTGTAATATTTTTGTACACAAACCCATTAATGAAACTATTAAAAAACACATGAATATGAAAGCAGGTTAAATTGATTTTCATCAGTAATATCACTCATTATAATACCTGTAGTCAGATAAGAAGACAAAGTTGTATTTTCTAGAGGCTTCCAGTTATATTATCTGGTGACACTTTTATATTGCGCTCATTTGGCCTGGCTTGGCAAGTGTTGGGACCGAAATAAATGGGCAAAAACAGGTCAGAGAGTAGGTCAATTGGATTGTCAATATCACTGCCACAATAGCCAAGGTCCAGGGGAGAGATACATTTAGATCCCTCTTGACACTTCCATCAGGGCTGTGTAATGTGTTTTATTTGTTAGGAACGTTATTGGGCTGAATTTGTAGGTCGAATAAAACACTGACAAAAAGAGGTTGGAACAAATTAGTTTTGGATTTTTGTTGTACAATACTTACGTGTATCTCAACATAATAACAATGAGTTATCGCATTTTAATAGATTTTTCCCGGGAAGTGGTTATATACCATTCCCATATGTAAGTTAAGATTGATAATTTGGATGATGGTTTGTGTTTTTGTGGTGTACAAATCGAAATAGAAAAAAACAGAATTTGCTATTTTAATTTGTTTTAGATTTTGATGACAGATCATGTTATTTGAAGGATTGCTGAAAAAAGATTCCTTTAACATTTTATAGAAAATATCGAACTGACGTAAGTAAAAATTGTTGCTCATTTCCCCTAAACATAAATTTATGAATAATTGTGTACTAATTTATTATCTTCGGCTGATTTTGGGCACTGATAATGATTTCTTTTAGGAACTTGCATACCTAACGACAGGATTGGATTCTGGATCTAAAAGCGTTATAGAAACCTATTGAACTGTACCACAATAAGCAACGGACATACTCCTTTAACTTTATTGTACTGATTGTTTGTGTTTACATGAAGTAGTTATTTAATCTAAGAAATAGAATAAACATAAAAGTAGCTGTGTGAAATAAATTGTAGGCCCAATAACATTTGTGAAAGATCATTCCTACTTAACAGTACCTACTTTACCATTGGACGGTTATATTAGATTAGTTTTACAACAGATTATGATAACATTAACACTGTGTCAAGCAAGCTTTAAATCAAGCAGAATTCAGATGTGCTTCACTCTTGCCTCAAACATATATTTCCATAGCCACTAGATAAAAAATTACCACACTTATATGGTTACAATGTTAGTTAACACTTAAATCTTGAAGTTTATTTGCATTTCACACTTGTTCACAAAGGTTTGATTTCGACACGAATTAGTTGGAACTTTCTCAAATAACTTCACCCAGTAGGTCTTTGTGGCAATAAATGTACATAATAGAAAAAAAGGGTATCACACGATAATAATTTTAAGAAGCTTGGTATAAGCTGTCAACCATGATAACTTATAAATTCGTAGACATTTAATAACGAAAAGTTAGTAGCAAAGACTTATTGTAACCTTAATATCATATCGCTTTTTATGGCCTCAATATCACTCCTGCCGTTGGTACATGGGTCTGATTACTAATAAATTCTATACTTCAGGGTTCCCACTGAAGAAAACCCGCAGATAATAAAAAACTATACTTCAAAAGAGTAATTTACTTCACTTTAGTCTCAACAAAAAAAATTTTTGTTTACAAATACGAATTTTCAAAATGTTAAAATAATTATTTCTGACAAAGAAAATATTGGTTTTTGATGGATGTCCACATCGGAAATTTTAGCAAGCATCTAGATCAAGAGACTAATACCATTGATGTTGTAGACTGTCCCGAAGATGCAAAACATCCAAAACATTTGTCTGCACAGTTATTCATCACATACCATTACAGAACAGTATACTTTTACCTCTGGAGCCTACCTTCTAGGTTATTATTATTAATTTATTTACAATCAAACGTGAAGTTAACGAGAAAGTCCCGTTTCCGTACCTCGTTTGAGAAAACGGCTGACGAAAGGCTTTTTAGGTTCTGGCTCCTTCGGGTCGGAATGAAGGAGAAATCTCCTTTTCACTTCCTCAGTGGAGAAGACCGCGCCCGTGTGTTGGAGGCGAGGGCTGGCAGGGGCTGGAGCGGGGGTGGGTGCAGCGGGGGCAGCTCTGGAGGCGGCGAGGGGACACGTTACAAGAATCAGGGGCGGCTGGGGTCCTGAGCCAGGGCGAGGTTAAAGTTTGCAGGCAGAGGATAGCATACAGGGTTAGTGTGGCAAACCTCAGATGGGTTCAATTTTAAAACTAAAAAGTATTAGTTTACATTGTAGCGTCCATTTAGTGAAATTTTTAGAATATTTTGAAAACTGTTGAAAAAAATATAAGACCCCAACCATCGGGTATCTTATTCCAAAACGTTGTATTTTCCAAGCAGAATACAAGAGAATAGCGTTTCCAAGCAATAATTTTAATAAAATTCTCTCTTAAAGACAAAATTTGAGAAATATAAAAACAAATACAGGGTTATTTAAATAAGTATCGGGTCTAGTTCACTGTAGCCTCAATCCCCTCCTCTGTTATTTTGAATGTAGGGTGTATTTTCCTAGCTGAATTTTAATAACAGTTTACTTTGAGTTGTCTCCACTAAAATGGTTTTAAGACTTTGTTACTGGAAATTTTAATTAAATCAAATGATTAACGTGCGAAAATCTTTGTCATATAGCCTATCAAACTGTACTATTGACTAATGGATACAGAAGTAAATACCTCATTTGTATAAACCATCTTTAGGTAATTTTTAATTCATAAAACGTGTGATATAATTACATAAAAAATAAAGATATAACTCCAACTATTTTAAGTTGAATAATTGAATAATAATAAGTTATAGTTGAATAATAATAAGTTTTAGTTGAATAATTTCAAGCTCATAAAATATGACCTTGACCTGTCTAGGTTTCATCTAGACAGGAGGTAGAATTTATTTCGGCTGTTGAAGCATGAAGTTGTACATAGTTGAATAAGCCACACAGAGTATGTAGGCTGTTAAAATGATATTTTATGTTTTTGAGGATTGATTTGGGATAAAAGATATTGTAGTTCCCCCCCCCCCCCCCTCACTCAGATGTATGTGACAGTGGTCAGTGATTAATGATTTCGTTACTACTGCATTTGAAAAAAATCGTACCAAGTTTTGACAAACCTGCCTAGGTCTTTCGGTTTTAATTCGACAGCACATTTAAAATAAAAATAAAAACTCGTTGAGGTTTACCAAGTAGATTCTCACTTGCATGAACATTTCTACAAACCTTTCAAATTAATCCTAGTAAAACAAATATTTGCAGTGAAATTGGTGTAATTTTCAGTACACAATTCAGAGGTTTCGCACAATTTAGTAATGTTTAAATTTTAATTTGCATCATAAAGCTGCAGGGAAACAATACATAAATGTTCTTGCAAGTGAATGATTTAAGTTATAAAAGCTATAACACGGGAGGTAGATGTTAGCTTTGGTACTTATGTGCTCCTACTCAAGTTAGTCAAAGTTACTAATGATTAGTAAAGTTTGCAAGGTAGATATTGTAGATAAAGGAAGTTCTGTATTTTGTAATACCTTAGTCTTCTGAGTTTAATGAGTTTTCGGTGTATTTGTTTTCTTTTAAGTATGTAAAATTTAAAAACGGACATAAACCATGTTTTTGATTTAAAAATATGGTATACAGTATATAATTATCCTTTAGTTTTTTGTGTGTAGGAATTTTAGATACAATTATATATATATATATACACATTGCTGTTGATAAAAGTTACGTCAGCAAATAATATCATATTAATCAAGGTTAGGAAATTGCCAGGCTTTGCTTTACTGAGGTCACTTAATTTACACATTATCCATTTCTGTATAACATGAAAGTGGCCTCATAATGACAGCCACTTTGACCATTAATGGTCTCATAGATTAAATCAACAACGCTCTTCATTTTTATTTCAATAGATTATTCCAACTCAAATGAAATGTAAAAATTTAAATCGGTAGAAAAAGGTTAATTTGTTTAGTTTGGTAAAACTAAGAGTACGTTATAATGCTCGGTCAAGTAAACAATCATCCAAATTTCAAGTGATATAATGTTATGTGGTTTATGTATGGATTCATTTTGTGCTTACACAATAGGTACCTAGAGCAGTAAAATAACTGATCAATTTGTAAGTATATTTTAGAAATTTAAGTGTATTTTTTGTATAAAATGAATATAATTCAAATGATAAATCACAGGGCAAGGGTTCTAAAATTCAAATTTATAAAAACGAACACAATATAACAAAACATCAAGGTGCAGACTGCACAGTACAATGCTTACGTAATTTGATCCTCTTACTTCCATGAGGTAACCGAAATGTAGCTTTTGTCAGGAAATCCCGACATAAGTCGCTCAACAAATGGATAACTCATAATGCAGAGTAACTACAACAGAATCATCAACTAAGGACATGCAGTTGCAATTTCTACTGCATAACCAGATGATAAGCTAAACGCTTGCGTAATACCTGTAGTGGTGACTTCAGAGGAAGTGGAAGACCGCCTGGAACCGGAAGTAGGCGTGGTCTTGGCTGCAACAGAAGTCTTTCTTTGGGTTTGCTGTAAGGAGCTTACAGAGGATCCATCATCTGAGTCTGCTTCACTTGACATTACCTATTGCAGAGGATAGCACATTATATTAACATAGCAGGTCGTGAATCAGGCAAATGTTTTATCAAATTTTATACTCAATGTTGGTATTGAGGTAGTCTACATCTCAAACAATATTCAAACCACATGTTTACATTAAAAATCAGCATACTTCATGAAAATCTTTGCAAATATCTTGTACCTTGTTTATGAGGAGTTGTCTTCAAATATAAGGAATTAAGTAAGCGTCTTTGTTGAAATCGAAAGAAAAATACAGTGTGTACGATTATACATACGAGTATACATGTAAAAAATGGTAGCTATTAATTTATATCAGTATTAGGTATGTAAACATACCTTATGTGATTCAAACATATTTAGCACGTATTTTACAAATAAAAGGTTAAATAGGCTGTAGTACTGTCGGTCATGACTCATCTTTGCCGGCTAAACCACTCACGCTACCGTATCAGTATTATAATTGGACAATTTTTTGTTTTGTTTTTTTGTTAAATGTTTTCGTTTTTGTGATTTGTGTATTTTACTACTCTTCCCAGTTATGAGGAGGATTTGGAGTATGTTTTAACTTGAAAATGAACCTTTAGGCTAGAAACCCGAGTCGCTGACCTAAATACGGATCACCAAATTGTACTAAAGGTATTTAATCTTTAATTTATGTAATTCAACCAATGTTTCATAAATTATATTTGTTAAATGAAAAAAATATTTTTAATGATTCATCTCCAATAATAACAAAAATATGGTTATCCGGGTAACATTTGAGTTGAGGTATTTTTGTACGTTTTAGTATAAAGTTTCTTTGAAGAGTGATAAATGTAAATGGTATTCTAAATATATTGAGGGATGCAATTATTCTATTCCTTGAGTAAATTTTGTAAGCATTTCACACACAAGATGTAGTCTAAACATTACTTTTCTGTCCTACCTCCTGTGATGGCTTCCTGGTGGTGGGTTCTGAAGACGGTGTTGACCTAGAAGACCCTGACGTCGGTGAAGACGCTTGTTGACGGTCCTCTCTCTCTTCTTCCGATCGTCCCTTCAAGGCAGACACCCTATCTGCTGCAGGACGAACCGGTTCAGGAGCTGAAGATGCCGGTTCCCCAGGTGCGTTCTTCATCAACCTTTTGATCTTAGTCACTTCATCTTCCTCACTTATCTGTCGCTGAGCTGCAGCCACCGGTCTCTTTGGTGGTTGGAACTTTTGAACTGGTGGTGCGGCAGGTGGGGGAGGTTTGTCCTTTTTTGTCTCAGAGTCTTGCAGCCTCTTCATTACTCTAGGAGAGTCGTAGAGTCTGGTAATTCCACTGAGTGGTCCTTTGGCTACATCCTCGGTGTCAAGGACACGTTCTCTTTCTTTCTGTTGTGTGTGACTTCCTTCGGTGAATCTGACAGATCTTCCTCCAGACGTATCATCATCTGAGTCACCGGCGGCGTGGCGGTTCATCCTGGCCCTGATCCTAGATCTTGCTGTGGATCGGTTTCCTTCGTCATAGGGAGAATCGTAATCTCCACCATAGTCTCCCCTGTCTCTATTTCTGCCGTATCTTCCACCTTCGTATTGGTCACCAGTATTTCTAGCTGCAGGTCTTTCCCCGAATTTTCTTCCACCCAAGGGCGACACTCTGCCTGATTCAGACCCCTCGTAGCCCCTGTCGTACTGTTCTTGTTGTCTGTACTGCGAGGCCAACCTATGGTCACTCTTAGATCTCATCAGGCCTGGCCCAGGAGGTTGTAACATACCCCCTCCACTCTGGTTGGATGATTGGTTACCAGTAAATTGATGGGGCATGTTAATAGACAGGTCTCCATAACCAGCCACATGCAGGACTAGTTGGTTGGGGTCGTGTGCCATGATGAATCTTGCTTTTCTCGTGTAATCTCCAGTCTCAGCTTCGAAGTTTCTTACAAACTCGACAGTCTTTAGAAAAATCTCTTTGGCGTCCATCAATTCACAATCGTCCCACTCTATCTCCTCCGACTGCATATGCTTATCAGCTAGATCACAGTTTGCCTGTATGTTGGAAATTTCTGTTTCTAAATTGTCCTTTAACGTATTGAGGTTTTTCAGTTCTGTTGACAAATACCTGTCAATTTCTCCACGTAAAAACTCGGTTCGATCCTTGAGTGCTTTGTTTAGTCTTCTGTAGATTTCGTCTACTTCGTCTGACACAGAGGTACAGTTAGTTTGTAACGCAAGCATGTTCTTCTCTACGACTGCAAGTAGGTCTTGTAGTCGGTGAAGACCTCTCCGGACCTTGAAACATGATATTGTTGGATATAAATTGAATTTAAGAACATAAAATTAAGTTATAAGCATATATTAATTAAGAAATCTGCATTATATGTGTTATATATCAGCTTTCTCTACGTACATTTTAACTTACTTATTATATTCATCAAACGGTTCATACAGCTATTCTACTAGTATCATTCAGAGAAAATAAACAGATATGTCAAGATTTGACGATGAACAGAAATCAGATTAATGTAAATAAAATGAAGGGTGGCGAGTATGATATTTCGATAAACGGATAATTTTTTAGCAATATTATATGATTGGTATCAATATTGATATTGATGAGTTGGAATATGGTGATGATAATAGTAGAATAGAAAGAAATTATCTTTTAACAATAGTATTAGACTCGAGAGCCCCTTCGATACGAATGGTTTGGATAACACTTGAAAACACGGTAAACGGTTTCAAATGTTGTTTTAGAAATAGGTTTGATATGCAAATTTTGAACCTTTTATTATATGATATGATGTGTTAAAGATCAACTTGTATCACTCACCTGATTGTTTATCCTGGAAATTTCCCTTCGCAGGATATCCATGTGGGCTCCTTTGCAGTCCGGACAAATATCCTTCTCGCAGTGTACACACATGCTGCAGTATGCCTTCTCTGAGCACACACCACACCGCTTCATCACCTGGCCACTGGTAGGGTCTGGCAGCTCTCCTGTGATCTCTATGTGCAGCTCCAAGAAGCGTTGGAGGGTGACGTTTGTAGGGAAGCCCTGGACTCCCTGGTATGGGATACGGTGTTCTGCTCGACACTCCGGACATTTTACCTATGGTGCATTACGATGGTAAGAGAATGAAAACATATGCTTAATGCTTCACATTTATATGTTTTTGTTTTCGCTATGGAATATTTTTGCACACTTTTATAATTTTTTTTTTCAGAAATATAATGCATTAATTTATGCAGTGACAATGGAAGTGATAGATGCGACCTGTCTCGAATATGCTATGTCTTGCCTCCGCCTAGGACACTACCGTATTCAGTTACAAACTGCCTTTTGCTTAAGCAACTGTATTTTTTTTTATTTACTTAAAGAAATATTTATTCCCCTCTAAGTGGGGCTGCTCATATTTGTTAAGATTTTTAAACTGAAAAAAAAAAATATCCATATTCAGTATTCGCACCAGCAAACTATTTCTTGTAAAGGGCAAAACAAAATTCGGAATTAAACTTGAGGAATATATTTCGGAAAACGTTTACAATCTTTAATACTTAAAAATCTGTAACCTTGCTAATGCTATGTTTGTCTTAAACACAAACATTGAATGAATAAACAAAACTTAAATAATTGACCACCTTAAAATCTTAAAAAGTTTTACGTCAATTTAGCAACAATAAAAAAGAAACACTCCCGTTAGAATTGTACATTTTAGATTGTTCACATTATTAATACTGTTGCTATTTTAAAATATCATATAAAAATTTCAATATCAAAATATTAAAAATTTAATATTAAGTTAACAGATGTTAACCAAACAAATAATTGAATAACCGATGTAAAACAAGAATGAAAAGATTCCAGAGACGCCGAAGTGAAACATAACTTTGAGGTTTTTATTGAATACTTTTACTTTCCAAGTGAACAGCCTCGAGGAAAAGAAGTTTCTTTAAGACAAGGCAGATTTAATTTTAAAGCTTCCTTCGGCATTTTCTTTAAGTTCCTTTTATACTTTTTCACGGGTAAAATATAATAAGTTTACAGTAAAATGGCAATTAATTATTTCTAGTAGGAACAAATATAAACTCTGTTTCAATCTAATATGTAACAACAATATTTTAAGAAGCTAGTTCTATAGGTTAGAAATTTATCTTTTAAAAAGAACAATAAAATACATAAATATATACATATCTACTATTTATCGACCTAGTTAACACAAAATAAACATATTAAAACGTAATAGGCTTATCGTTGTTTTCATATTCTGTATTTAACAGTTTACTGAAAATGCTTTAATCGTCTGATCTGGTGTAATTTATTGTGTATTTAGAAACCTTGTAACTTCCAACTAATTGAGCTGTGTTAGAAATACATATCATTTTATAAAACGTAAACTAGATTACTGAGAACCAACCTGTCTTCGGACATAGTCGACCAACCCGTCCATGCAGGGCTCCATGCAGAAGGAGTGTTGGCATGGTAACAGCTTGGGGTTGCGGTACCGATCCAAGCAGATGGCACAAGTAAGCAATTGTTCAAACTGCTCCATTGCAGATTATCTGAAAATAAACCATCGATTAAGGATTATAATTTCTATAAAATAAAAAGAATAAAATGTTTTTTGTAATTGTATTAGTAGAAATTGTTATTCTTTGTACTAAGTTGAAATAAGAAATAATATTGTAACAATAGTTTTACAGTATGAAAAAGAATTACGGATATCATAAATCTTTTTACCTACGACCGTTTTTTAAAGTAGCCGTTTCAGTACAGTTCTTAGAATTGAAAAGTATCTCATAACAGTATTGTTTACTTTCATAACAGCATAGTTTAACTCATAACAACACGGGTAACGGACCAATGAGATTCAAGGATTGAGAGAGGAGAAGCAAAATTGTAATGATTTGAAATTCAACTAATCAGCTGTTCAGGTCAATTTAATTGTTGATTGGTGCAATTAGTGAATTAGTGTTTGATTCCTTGTTTCACTGTCAGTGGCAATGAGAGGTTATAAACAAAAACATAACCTCTCTTAGAAGTTATGAGTAGTGATTTTTAGTCATTAAAACACTGTCGTAGGTAAAGTAGTGTACGCAACTCGCGTAAATAGTGTTAACGACACTCGTAGAAGTTGTTAAGGCTCGCCAAGGCTCGTACCTAAAATTTTCTACTCCTGTCGTTAACACTAGCTTTACGCATTCGTTGCGTAAACTACTATTACGATTGTATTGCGGTATGATGATTATTGGGGGGGGGGGGGGGGGTAGTTGTCCAGAGTGTACCACAACACGCTTTTTTTAAACAGATGTAAATGGTGAATTGAGTTCTACTTTAGGTACTTCTCGCACATGTTTCAATCAATTATTTAGATTATATTTAGATTATATCAAACAGTTGGTTAGACAAAAATATTTTGATATTTATGGGATGGATATACCAAAATTTAAAGAATAACTAGTATACTAAATTGTATACGTATAGTACACATTTTGAATACTAAATTGTATTCAAAATGTGTGAAGATGTAAACTAAAATAAGTTGTTTTAATCATTATCGGACTGTTAAAACTTTTACAAATAAATCGTCAGTTGGATACCTTTTGTTTTCGTTGAATGCAACTAAGATTAATTTTTGAAATTTAAAAAATGGTTGTAATATTGTTTTAAGTTTACTTTCGAATGCTATAATACCGAAAAATAACATTAGCTGGACAATTGCATAGTATACTGTTTTGATTTCATTCTCACCAAGAATGTGACTTGGTTGGTAAATGCAGAAATATTTTTTTTGTAATCATGCTTTTTAAATATATTGCATGTTCGGAAGATTTCATATTATAATAAAAAACTATACCGAGATATTTGAATGAAACTTTGTCAATTTGACTGAAAAATTACACGTTATTAATAGGACTACCACAGACGTGAATTTTATAATCTTAGTTGGTTATCAATAGATTTGCGTAATGATATTGTCATGAATTTTTTTTTATATTCAGAGATAATATGTTTTGGTCAAGTCATTTTTAGAAGGAAAAGGTCTTAGTTTATTTTTAACCTCCATATAGGAACTACCACTAACAATATTGAGAGTGTCATCTGCAAATAAAGCTATTTTTTCATTGGTTGGAATTTTCGAATTGTTATTAATGTATACTAAGAAAAAGACAGGTATATCTTTATAGTATTCACTAGGCATAACGAACATTATAAACTTATATACATTATAACATATAACATTATAAACTTAACTTATAACATTATAAAATAAGCCGTTTTTTGAGTAACGTCAGTTAGAAAAATTCAAATGGCCGCCATTTTGAAATTTACAATCGGAACAACTTTATTTTTTCCTACAATAGGTCTTGTGTATGTTAACTTGGTTACCAAATTTCATTATCATCGAATAAAAATTTCACCCATAAAAATATTTTTGTATAAAAAACTAAATGGCGGATAACTCGGAAAATATGCATTTTCGGACATACCTTAACGTAAACTTTTTTCTTCCTTTTAGCATGAGGATTCATTCCCCAACGTCCTGAAACGTTTTTTTTTTGGACACCCTGTATATACATATATATATAGGAAAATCAACAGCAAGGTCCAGGTTTCTAACAAAAAGCAAATTGACAAGGTACAATCGGTTTATCTATGACCGGTAGGGTATTTTGAGCTGAATGGTTCGATTTCAGTTCTACGGGAAGTAATAAATTGCCAGTAAAACATAAGTTTCTTAAAAAAATAACGTTTGCTTTCCATGCATCAGGCAGATAGGTAAACGTTAAGTCTAAAATCAGTTCTTATGATCTTTGTTTTCTTCCTAAATTGCTATTGTAATACAATAAGATAGTTGCTTTTTGAAAACCCAATACTCAACAAACTAATCAATTTCCAAATACTTTAGAACTCTTAAAACTATGTATTTTAATAAAGTTATTCGACAGATCTAGTTATGAATACTCGAGACCTAAGTCAGTGTAACTTAATAACAAGTCCTGGAGCAAGTTTGGCTAATGATGTTAACAAGGACTTGTAGCGTCTTGAACCATCGCTGACCACTTCTATCATCAATTCCAAATATAATTAGTGTTATTTCAAAGTTTAAAATTATTCTTATACAACCAGCTCTGGTGACTTTCTCTGGTAATGGTTTTTTTGTTAACTTATTTCCTACTCATTCGTTTTTTTATTTTCATATAGTTCACAACAGTCTAATATTTTTCAAAGAGCTAATCTAGAGAGTTTTATCTTCGAACCCCTTTTTCAAAGATATCTTGATATAGAAAGCTAAGGTGAAGCTTTAAAATTGAACCATTAAAACAAATTTACTGGTCTCAGTTTTAGTTTTTTTTTACAAGACTGTGAAAAAAAATCTTATGGGTTTTAAGAGATGGTTTCCAATGGAAACTTAGTTATCCTTATCAACAACTTACTATTATTGGTTATCTCCAAACTTTGGAATTGAGGACTGAAATTTGTAAACTTAGATTAAAAACTAACTACATTCACATACAAATCTACAAGGATTTATGACACTTAATAAATTTATGCCATGGCTTGGAAAACGTGTGTTCTCAAAATGAATCATTTATTAAAAGTCCTATTATTAACCTATACTAACAGACAACAGTTATAAGCCCTCAAACAACAGATGTTCCAGGGTTATATGATGTAGGTCGTGCACGTAAGCGCTTGCTGATATTCAGGACGTAAACTAGAGAATTCTCAGTAGCAGAAATAGATGGGCTAAATATAACGAGAGAGACTCCAATAGAAGAGTTAACAGATTCGTTGCAAGGGTTAAACAACTTTACTTCACTCTATCTAGATGATGCACAAACATTGTCAATCGATGATTTTTAAGTTACTATGTATACTTGTTATTGTTATTGATGCATGCATATATTAAACATTGCATGTTGGAAGCGTTCACTTAATAAAGAATAAGTTTTCTTGTCTAGTTTGGAGAAAAGTAGTGATGTGATAGTAAATTACAGAATTTCTCCTTAATGTAAAAATATATATTTTTGAAAACTATTGTTTAAAATTAATAGTGCCACGTAATTAAAAATTATCCTGATCCTCATTTTTTTCTAATTTAAGAATAAAGTAAAACGTACTCTAACCATTGACTCATATCAAACAATATAGTGGATTTTAAATTGCCTTGATATATATGTTACACTCAATCTCCGAATTCGGACAATGTCCGAAATTTCTACCCACTCCGCGATGTGGATAGTGTGAAATACCCACGTCGCGGAGTGAGAATTTTATTTCGGACATTGGCCGAAACGAAATGCCCAGACCGCGTTGTGAGTAAACTCATTTACTCAAACGCCGAAGTCAAAACCTTCTTCGGCGATTGAGAAAATTCAAAATACCCACAACGCGATGTGAGCAAAAGTGATTGCCCACGTCGGGTAGTGGGTATTTCTAGTTTGCGCAAACGCCGACTAGTATTCTATCAACCACCGTATACCCATAAATCTACATGAAATCCACAATCACTAGGTAAAATAAATAAAATTTATGTTTGTGTTTATAATTGTTTAATGTATAAATAGCATTTTATAAAATACCAGAAAACAGCAAAATACCGAATAGGAACAAATATAAAAAGGTCCATTACACATACATTGAAATTATGTTTTTCCACTGTACAAAATTTGGAGTAGCCTTAAAACGCCGATTATCACACAGTTCTTGTTAAATCTTTCTTTTAGTTATTGGCACAAGATGGTGCTGCCATGGAATTTAGAATTGCATTTTACGTTTTACTTACGGTAATACATTGACATGATTTACTCAAAAAGTTCTTCTTACAAACACATCTAATAAAACTTTGTTTTTTTAAAGAGGTTGTCGACCTCTTTTAACCTCTTTTTTGCCCGTCCACATTGACCTCTGTCGTCTTTATTGGCTCGTTCGACAGGCCAAAACAATATCTAAAGAGGTAATCACTGAACGTATATTAACTTGATCACGTGCGTATCACTACAGGACAACCTAAACAAAAAACATAAACGGTAATGAAAACACAATGCAGGTGCAGATCCGTCCATCCTAATTGCAGATAGTGCAAATGATGGGGGTGCCATGTCTAAACGTAAATTCGGCGTTTGCACAAACTAGAAATACCCAAAACCCGACGTGGGCAATCCCTCTTGCACACATCGCGTTGTGGGTATTTAAGATTTGCTCAATCGCCGAAGAACGTAATGACTTCGGCATTTGAGTAAATCAATTTACCCACAACGCGGTCTGGGCATTTTACTTCGGCCAATGTCCGAATAAAATGCTCACTCCGCGACGTGGGTATTTCACACTATCCACATCGCGGAGTGGGTATAAATTTCGGACATTGTCCGAATTCGGAGATTGAGTGTAACATATACATTAATTAAAATTTTAAAATTTTGTTCGTAGTAATATTGAGAAAATAATAAAAATATATATAGTTTCATTGCTATTACACCTGTATGAACACTATGTACATTTATCAATGTTGGGAAGCCAAGGGAACGTTGAGCCTAAGAATTTATATACTCTAGTA